CACACACACACACACACACACACACACACACACACACACACACACACACACACACACACGTCATTCGATATCGCTCAATTATCATCGACGTAGTTTTTCATATGTCCACTTAGTGTTGAATAGATTGAATGCATCAATAGCGACCAGTCATGACATTGCGGAAACGTACGCGGTCTGTTTATCGTGCCTTTCCTTTCGCAATGGCGAGGTATATCAATCGCAGGTAGAAATTAAAAGCAACACGAATGCGAGAAACGCGCATCGTGCAGTATGCAATTACAGTTACATTGAAAACGGGAAGTAGATCGAATTTCTTGCCGATTCACCTCGAGTCTTTGTAACGGCACAAAATACGCTTCTATTATCTCTTTACAAGAAGAATTAAGGATAATTTAGACGAGACAATCGATTAACAAAGTTACATTACTATATCTATAAAAGAACATGATACTTTTTTCAAAATCAAAAGAAAAACGTAAAATTATCATCACTGCAAATTACGTTACTGTGTAATTAAAAGAATTTTGAAAGAATTAGTTTAAATTTAACTAATCTACACAACCTCTGACTCTCTTCAGTTCTTAAAATTCTCAAACAGTTCAGCTTGAAGCGCTTTTGCAGGCACCGAGATATCCTGTATAATGTATATGTCAGCATGAATTGCACATTTATAGAAATTCTTTACTTCTCACATGGCTGGCATAAATGAACTTAGAGGCACACGGTAATACATATATTCATGTCGGATGGCTAGAGAGATGGTGGACGAATAAGTGCTGCATACGGATACGGCAAAATAAAATGCGAATGTGTGTACAGGTTCCGCGCAATGCATATATAATAAATTTATACGTGGCTACATGTCATCTCCGTCAAAATATATCGAAAAATATTCTGTAACGTAAGACAGTTAGACAATTTGCTTCTCAAATTTCAAATAAATTTCTTTGCCATCAATTAAATTTAAATTTACAAATTTTTAATATTTAAGATGATTGTGAGAACTAAAATCTTTCCGACAATAGAATTTATCAATAATATATTAATTTATTTTCATGAATATTTAAACAAAAGTATGTAGTACAAATTTATAGACATGCTAGAAACAGACAGATCTAGACAAAGCTAAATATTTTAAACCATTCAAAGAAGAAAGTCTATATCTCTTGATCGTAGCAATATTTATTATTTGATTTATTATGGACACACATATGTATTTTGAAATTTCTTCATTTAAAGTGCTCGTTTGAGAAATAAAAATGGAATGTGTTTAATTTTAAAACTATCACATTTTGTGAAATATAAATAACCGAATTTAAAAAAAAATGTTAATATTCTAATAATTTTGATTTTGATGAAATGGAATTTTTTAGAAATATATGAGAGAGAAACAATACGATACAAAAAGAAAATATCAAATATTTTATTGGTTCAGTTTACAGGGAATTTTAAGAAAGTAGTTAAGACATATAGATTGTTCTAAATCACGTTTAAAAATAATACAGCAACTTTGATGACAGTTTACTATGTGAATCATAAATTATTTAATAAATAGTAGTATTTTTTTAATCTGTACTCTAATAAAAATTAATGGAAATATATTACATAAAATAAAATTGATAAAAATTCAATTTTTTAATATAAATACATATATTTAAGATTATTTACGTAGCGTTACATTGTGATGCACTAGTAGTTGTACAGTAAATAAACAAAATATTTGTTTTATATCTTTAACTAATCAGTGAATCGCAATGGAACTTTGCGATAAATTGAATTTTGAATATTTTAAGTATATTTTTACTTATAAAAGAAAAATGTAAATTTTTAATCATTTTCTAAATTTTTATTTATAATAATAAAAATAATAACAAATAAAATAAACTACAAAAATGTGTTAAACAAAAATATAATCTTATTCACATAACATAATTTATTTGAAGTGTAAATATTAAACACACTTCCAAATTTAATTTTCTTTGCAGGGACTGTACGTCTAATACATCCTTAAAATATACAAATTGCAGTTACGCTTACAGATAAAAATATAATTTATATTAATTATGCATACAGACATATTGGCATATTTTTTTGCATGTAAATAATGATACAAAATATATTTCGTGCTATTAATGAAGGTTCATTCTGAAATATAATTTATTTAGTTCATTTTTAGACAAATATTAAGATAATTAATGTGACAAGATAAAAGAGAAATTTTGCAAAACATATACAAAATTGAAAATTAATTGAATATCAACATAAAAAAAATTCTAGGTTAGCAACAATATTTAATTTTATATTCTTCACTCAAAATATCAAATAACATTTCGATAGCTAAAATATAAAAAATTTGTAATTCAAATAATTTATGAAAAAATAGATTTATACAAAATGATATTTCTACATTAATGCATTGTTTTAATTTAAAAAGTCTCTCTCTCTCTCCCTTTAATTTTACGACAATGGTAATTTGAAATCCAAAACAGGTATCGACATGCAATTAAGATTAATGAGAGTACGAGGAAAGAATATAGTACCGGCATCATTCTATAGAAAGCGGTATAGAGTCATGGACTTTGTAACGTTATAGACCGTTGATGGTGTGCCGTCTGCATATTCTACACCAGACAGCAAGCCGTCGTCACGCGAGCCCGCCGCGCCGCAATTCCGTAAAGAAAGGAAAAGTTGAGGACGCGCGATGTGCAATAGACGGCGCTCACAGGCGCATTATAACGGCACTAATAGTAATCGATGTTGCGAGCGGAGCGACGAGAGGGAGAATCGGGAAAATGAATCGAGAGCAAATCAAATTCACGAGTGACACAAGTTTCGCGCGGATGGGAGCGGGCAATCGATGTAAACGTACAGTGCGAATCGAACAACGTTGGAACAAGCTAAACCCATCACTGTACAAGTGATTACGGGGGAAATGTGTTCAATCGGTTGAAAATGTATTTAATCACTTCATCATCGAGAGCTCGAAATTTACAACCATTGCCTTCGATGTGCAATTTCACACGCCGGGAATTTTATTTATAATTTATTATTCGTTAACATGAATCGAGACCTATTGAAAAAGATTCATCATTTTCAATTTCCGCATAACGTAAAAATGCCATCCTATAATACATACTTTTCTTTTATTTCTTGCATTTCATACTCTTTTTGAGAAATATTTTATCAATTATTATTGATATCTATATCAAAATTCTGAAAATGAAATGCTTACCTTGGAAAAGAAATTATTTTTAAATGTTAATTGCGTATAAATACTCAAATAATTAAATATTATAAAGGATAACAATAATAAAAGTTGAAGAAAAATAATCGTCTCTGAATTCGAGATCTCATTAACAGTAAACGAGTCAGATACTGAGTGCCAGTGACAAGCAATCTCTCTCTCTCTCTCTCTCTCTCTCTCTCTCTCTCTCTCTCTCTCTCTCTCTTCGGGAGATGCGGGGTGCATTATGTCATGCCCACCGGCTATCAGAACGCTTGCACGCAGTATATAAAGTATAAAAGGGAGAACAGGGGGATCTTATAAGCCTGGCGAGTGTGACGTGCACCTGCTTTGTGCGCTAAACTAAAAATGACGTTCAGACGATAGCGCAGGGCAACCGGCTTTAAAGCGGAACTACTCGGCAAAGGCGAATCTTCCTACTCGAAACAAAGTCGACAACATGCGTATTTCTGTCGCGCATCATGAATCGACGTCTTTATTTTTCAATCAACGCATCCGTCATACTTTTTTGATCTAGGTTCTTATTCTCAAAAAATATCGCGCACTCGGAAAATACTCGGAAAATCTATAATAAATGTAACATATATATATATATATA